GTCGATAACGTCCGTGAGCTCGGCGAGGCTTTAGGGTGGTTGTGCAGTTTTCTGTGAGAGCAGGAGGCGGAGCAGCAGGCGGAAAAGGAGTAGTAGTAGTAGTAGTAGTAGTAGTAGTACTGGTACTAGTACTGGTACTACTTCTAGTACTAGTACTAGTACTGGTACTAGTACTAGTACTAGTACTAGTAGCGGTCGTGCATGTCATGCACGACCCTGGAAATAATCTGAAAGACTGCAACCTCTGATGCCGAATTCGTCTCAAAAGCGCGCCCCCTCGCTCACCCAATCACTCATCACTGCTGTATGACACTGCTCCCAATGCCATGGTCACTCATGATCGGGTGGACCGAGCGTTCTATTCATGGTCTTGACCACTATTGTAATCGCAGAACACCACTGGATAGACCAAGACTCAGCTGTACACTCAGCCAGATGCTGAGCCGAAGGCACGCCCCCCCCCCCACCATGGGAGCGCATACCCCTTTTTGGAGTGGACAGAGACGGCGCGAAGCTTTCGTTCGCAGGGGTTAAAGGGCAGGCCTGTCCTCCTCTCTGCGTCTCTTTCTTTCTTTCTGCCGGGCGTAGGGGTCCGTCAGGGACCCTCTGCGTCTCTGTCTTTCTCTAACTTCCATGGCTCGAATGCACTCTGCTAGCAGCAGAGCTGCTGTAAAGAGTGGTCGGTGCCTCATGGCATGGATGATGCTCTGGACTTGCCCCACGGGGCACAATTGTGCAGATTCTGGGACGCAACTTGGAGAATCGGAAGTGGATTCAATAGACTATTGCGTGGCTTTGGGACGTCCTAAATGCGATGAAGTGACTCCAAGCCCTAAACCCTAACGCTTTGAACTTCACTTCCTTCGTGACCGCCTGCTTAGCCTCACTCGGTCCATGATGTCCCGGAACGCATCACGTCATCTCGATCTTGGCCCTGGTCCCCTACTGCGTTGCGGTCAGAATGGTGCTCGTTGAAGGTGTCCTCAGTGCAACTTGCGCGGCTGGGCTCGAACATGGTCTTGTAGGTGCCTGCAGTCGGTGGTTCCGGAAGGGAGTAGTTTAGTAGTCCCTTTGCGTGCTGGCGATGGTGAAAGTGGAGGAAGGAGGGGGTCGGCCCCTCTGGGCTGCTGAGCTCACGTGCTTCTTTCTAGTGCAAATGGCAAATGACCAGGCCCATGCACCCATGGAAAACACATGTTGTTTCTCCTCTGCAGTGGCCTCCGTGGTATGACGGTGCCTGAAGGCAACGAATGCAGACTTCTCATTCTCTGGGCGTCGCTGTCTTCTGCATCCCATCGTAGTTCACGTTGTGCTTCGCGGTCAGCGAACTCGCTGGGGTAGGCCGGGAAGTCGAGGACGCGTAGTGGTGCAGACTCACCGTCGTGCTCGACGGCTGCACGGCAACCCCGACAAGGGCCACTGCAGCCTAAATGCGTCTCAAGCCCCCGCTGGGAGGACCTCCGCAGCTCGCTCCAGCAGAAGGACGGCACGACGACTTGAGCTAAAATGGCTATGCCCTCTCTTCTTCCACACAGCCCCCCCGACGCGCGCACGCGCCCTGCTCTCCGAAGTGTTTACGAGTGATACTTAAGATGAGGCCAGCGAGATCACAATTGTGGCACGCTCTCTCTCTCTCCCTCTCTCTCCCTCTCTCTCTCTGCCTCTCTCTCTCTCTTGCTCTGTCTTTCTTTCTTCTGCTTCCTCAGTACAGCCAGAGAGGGGTCTTCTCTCTCTCGCTCTCTCTCTCGCTCTTCCCCCTTCATAAGATAACTTGCGACGCCTGAAAGGAGCCGGTGCAGAAAGCTCCCTGCCTCGTATTTCCATTTCAAGGGATCTCCGGATAAGAACTTCAAAGAAATCAGCAATATAGGGGGAACCACCCCGACAATGCCTGCAGCTCCAAAGAGTCTGCTCATGCATGTATCTTCGCTTCTGCCCGAGCCTTGCCCAGTCATGATGGCGCCCATAAGTTTCGGGTCTCCCGTGGACCCCGCAAGCCCGCAGATCAGAGATGTAAAGCAGGACTCCGCCAGACCCAAGACCTGCGAACAGGAGAGAAGAGAAGAAGTACTTGGACTAAATTCGGATTTTCCAACTTTTGTTCAGGGTACCGCGCAGCAAGCCAGCGCAGCAGCAAAGCCCCAAGTCGAGGGAGTCACAAGATCGCCATCAACCTGGCTGCAGCAGTCTGATGACTACACGAATCTGAAAGTCTACGAGGTTCTCCAATTTGTAATCTATAAGTGACCGCAGACACTACCAAGCAGCTTCTTCTGCACTCCAGAACGCCAGCATGGGCAAGGCCAAAACCATCAGCAGTTGAAGCGCAATCGAAATAACATATGCAGACTTGAAGGGAATCTTCTGGCCAACTTTCACCATAGTGGTGGTCCCCAGCACATTCGTTGCCTGAAAGTTCTGAACATCACATCACCGTCAGCAGGTGTCAGAGGGCGACAAGACTACGATGCTGAGCACGTGCCTGATACGTCATGGATGCGATGAAGGCCCACTGATGGCCGGGAAAGCGGAGCTCGAAGAAGCCAACAGCTGTGAGGTAGAAGTTCCATGCCGCCAGGGTCAGAATGCCCAAAATCTAGGTGAGGCGGGAGTGGCTCAACCAAGCAAATCACAGCTCCATTAAAGCTGTTTGCGTCTCAAGAGTGATGAACTAGTCAGTCGGGCGACCACGAACAAAGGAACTGAGCCCAGAATTGGGGGTCCAAACGACCCCCTCACTTCGTCAACCTTGGTTACATGCAGCAAGCACTGTCTCCGTTGACACTGCCGCCGATCTAATCGTGGATTGGTTGGGGCCCTGTGCATTTCACATCGAAAGCAGAATACAACCTAGAGGCTCTACAACTTATGCATGTGTCGTTCACACAGCCGACATGACTCTTCGAAACTTGTACTTCTGATGCACGAGTTGACCTCCGCTGTATCTTACAACATGGCACGTCACAGATGAAGTCGGCTTGCAAACAGAATTCGACATTTATCTATCTACCTGCGGAATGTACAGAGGCCTGGCGGCCAATATATATATATATATATATATATATATTGCCATACACGCACGAAAAGAGAAATACCGCAGCAGATATGCAAGCAGATATGTAAGCACGGTAAGCAGGGTGACCGGTAATTAAGAACCTTCACAACCAGACAGACTGATAGATGTAGGCCACAACATGCGTGATGCATGTGCTTGCATGGTATGTGAGTGAGAAGCCTGAGCATCAACGCAACTACCCCAAAAAGTGTGTCCGCGGCGTTGTGCGCATGCTGTTGTGCGTGAAAGTGAGCAGGCATGTGGCCACGCACCCATGCATGCATGGTGTGTGTACAACTATGCATGTGTAGATATGCGGAGGGGGCGAAAGCACACCTGACCAGACGACGCGCATGCAGGCAAGCTTGCGCGACACCTGCCTTATTGCACTTGGGCATGTATGCATGTCCGTGTTTTTGCAGGTGCATCCACTCGAGTATTCAAGAAACTGTCAAGGCCTGCCGGCTACTCAATCAACCATCCCCACCAATTCGCCCACCCTCCATCACTGTCGGTGGAGCGTGCCTTTTGCCTTCCCAGGCTGTGAACAAGGAGACTTTGCGCTCGGCACGAAACCACAGCGGGAGCGCTCTTGCCAGAAAATCTTTGCTGCAATCGGGAACGCAAGAAGTTGAAGTGAACAGAGGCCCTTGCTGCGTTTTCTCAAATCACAAGGGAAGTCTCTCAACAAAGCGCAGCAAACGCATCAGCGGCTGCATTTATGCTAGTCAGTACCTGCCGCATCCAGTACCCCCCAAGGTGGAATTCTCGGTGCCGTGGCCCGGCCTCTCGCTCTGTATCTCCGTTCCTTTCTCGCTGTCTAGAGCACTCTGCCAGCTCGGGACTACCAACTTCGACGTGACTGACATGATAGGCAATTCTGCCATGTCCGCTTTTCCGCAGGAGTTATCTGTGGTCGAGAGACAGCCGCGAGCTATACAAGCCAGCGTTGTGAGCATCAGAATCAATTCCTTTTCGCCTTTAATGTGGACCCCCTTTGACCCCGCCGTGACAAAGCCAAGAACCCTGTAACCAACCTTAGGTGGGGCTTCACCCGTGGCAGGCCCCGGATTTGTACTCGCCCTGGGTCAGAACCGCAATCCCCAAAACCCCAAACCCCAAGGAAGTCCAAACAGCAGCCACGACCTTAACTATCCCGCCACAGGTGCAGCCTCGGACTCAGCACCCTCGCACCGACTTGTTCAGAATCTCTTCTCTAAGAGCATGCTGAAGCCATGGAATGTTGCGAATACGTGGGTGGAAAGTGCAGGCAAGCTGCGTCGCCTGCAGCCATGGGTGCTCCGTGAGTTGAAGCCGAGATGCTGCGAGATTACACCAGACAAACAAGCTGCATGCCGGTCATGCACAGACACATGGAAACGACGCAGCTGGAATATAAGGCACTAGGGACATGGCCAAGGTCGGCGCCACGCACCTACAACTCACCGGCAGAGCCCAATCAGCAATACAGGGGGGGGCTCCACTTGCGCCTGTCTCGAGGGACCGAGATGAAGACCAGACGTGCTCCCGGCGGCACCTTCGTCGCACTCACCACCTGCGAGTCACTCAAAGTTTGCTGCACCGCTTTTGGACTCCGAGCTCATGACAACACGTGGCGAGTATCCACATGTCCTTCTTGCTTACGTTGTCAGCTTTCGCTCTTCAAAAACTGACTACACCTACTCGGAGATTGATCATTCAAGACATACCCAGTCATGCGAGCCGAAAATCGAGAAAAACAAAAAACCTAAGTGAGCCAGCTGGCTTCGAAGGCAAGGTTGTCGGCAAACTTCAGACCGCGCATACAACGACTCCGGACCCAGTAGATGCCAGAGACACGGACCTGTCCATTTGTGTCTTGGCTTTTTTAAGTGGCTGCAGCCCGTCCACGGGATGAGCACCCTGTTTTCTTCTTCGTTAAACCCTCCGAAGTGTGTTTGTTTGCACAGTCATTCCTGGCAGGGTTTGGATCAACATGTTTGGATTTTCTTATGAAAGTCTTCGAAATAAGGTCCGCATTGATTTAACTCTAGGCCTCAAAACGTTCTCGTTGAATCAAGTTAGTACGGTTGTATGTACTGTTGCAGTCTGCGCACAATGATATAGCAATTCAGTGTTTCTTCATCGCAAGGAATGCAGGCCCTTAACGTTGATTTCTGTTGCTAGGGCGCATCAGAACGGCCGACAGAGACATGTTTAAAGCCATGACATCGTATATTTTTGCTGTTCACTTGTGCTCCAGCTCAAAAGCGCGCGCAAATGCAATTGAACGTCTGTGGGCCGGCGGCGGAAATTCAGTCAACAGTTCGCTCCCGTTTTGCACATCATCAACTTGCTACGGTTGAGCAGAAGCTTTTCATCCGTCCGTCAGATCTGGCAACATCGCCCGACAGACCGTCTCCGAATGGGGATGTAAAGGACCAAATCAAGTGTGCTTCAAAACCATCCCTTCAGCTCAAAAATGTCAACAAAAAATGGTTTCTGAGGCCATGAAACGACTGCCTGCATCCACTGTTTGTCACAAAGAGCTAGCCACGTCCTCAATGCCAAGGGACCCGCTTCCGGAAGCTCTCAAGGAAGAACAAGAAGAAGTGTTCCATGGCACCGTCCAAACGATCGAAAAATAAACAGTGAAGCAAAACCGTAGGTAGGCTGTGTGTATGGGGGGCAAGAAGATTGTTCACATTCACATCAGCCAAAAGATGATCACATAATGCCATGAACCACTCGGTTTCGACGAGACCAAATCCAGTGACCAACTGCATATTTGAAAGGTTTCTATGGCACATGGCCTCCATGCCACCGTAGGCTGCAAAGGGGCGGACGCCACTGCTAAAAGCCGAGACCACGGTCCCGGAGAAGGGGCGATGCCCATGGATGGTTCAGGGACCGCACCGAATGAAGAAAACGGACGAGAATGTGTCCCCACAGTGGAGGGCCGCCCAATGCTGAGACAGCAGATCTTTGAGCCAAGGCACAAACCGGTCACCCTCCCACGGCTCCACAAGGATCGGAAGATCCTCGGAAACCGTAAGCATAGCCGGAAGGAAGTCCAAGGTGCGGTTGAGCTGCAGTCAAGGTGTCCGAGACCGGCTGGCGCAGGCCAGAGGGGAAACGCACAAACCAAGATGCAGACGTGAAGCCAACAAGCCCTTGTGCAAAAAGACCCCACGGCATGCCGCGCTTGGTGGTCTTAGCGCGGACGGATATGCCGACCAGCGGCTGGATGGATGTTGGTATTGGATGCGGGCTGGCGGCGCCCAGATCGAATCTCCCCAACCGAGCGAAGCCCAAACGCATGTCAGAATATAGGCAAGGCGAGGGACCTGAGCCGACGGGGTGGCTTCCCATGTTACCCGCGTATTTAAATGCAAAATCCCAGTGATTTAGGCTTTGGGGTTTCTGTTGTACGGCTAAAAGGCTTTGCAGTTGAGTGTTTGCGCTTTGGGGCTCTCGCTATTAGGCTTGATGAGATGACCCCAGTGCACTGTCGACCGGGTAACCCAGAATGGATTTATTTTGGCTACAATCTCGCTATAAATAATGTTTATGGGCCCTAGAACCCGGCAACCTAGTAAGCTCTAGCTCTCAAAGAGGCTTGTGGTTTAAGGTTTAGGGTGAAGGGTCGTGGGTTTCGGGTGCAGGCTTTCGCTTGGTGCAAAAAATCGGTGGGGAGCAAACCCGAAAAACGTTGTCAGTCGAAGCGTGAACCTCAAAAGAAGCCCAAAGCCCTAAAAGAAGATGTTGGGTAGCAGCTTACTGGGCGGCAAACCCGAAAACCTCACAAGGTCATGAACCAAAAAAATGTTGGGTGGCAACCTTAAGCCTGAAAAGCCGTACTCGGCGGCAAATCTTAAACCCCAAAATTCCGTAACCCAAACCCGAAACCCGAAAAGACGATGTTGGGCGGCAAACCCTACGACCACACCCGAAATTCTGAAAGAAGACATTGTGTGGCAAATTTTCGGCCCCAACCAATATTGTAATTACAAACCAAAGCTTGAATCCCACAAACATGTTGGGTGGCAAACCCTAAAGCCAAACCCGAAAACCGAAAAATCAAATGTTGGGTGGCAAAGCTTCGGCCCTAAAACCTGGAAGCGGAAACTGATATAAACCAAACTGTTGGGTGGCAAGCCCCAAAACCAAACCCGAAACCCTAAAAGAACGCGTTGGGTGGCAAGCCCTAAACTCGAACCGAACCCGAAACCGCAAAAAAACTTAAACCCTCCCCTTCTGCTCTAAAAGGTCGCATTGGGCAGAGCCTAAGCCCTAAAAGGTCGTAATGGTCGTAACCCAACGCGTAACCCTAAAATAAAATGTTGGGTGGCAACCCTTAACACCAAACCCGAATCCTTGAAAGAACATTCTGTAGCAAAGCTGAATCCTAAAGTGTAAAGTGTTTTACAGTGTAAACTTTAAACGACTTGAGTGGCAGACCCTGGTACCAAACCCTTCACCCCATGCAAAAAATCTTGGGTGGCGAACGCTAAACCCAATAAAATTGCCCTAACAAGTCGCATTGGGTGGCAGATCCTAAACTTTAAACGCTCGCGAAGAAAGAGACAGTTCACCCCAAGGAGAAAGACAGGATGGACGGAAGAGTTTCAAGTAGCCACCCCCCGAAACAGGCAGAGCACCGAACGCAATGTGTTCAGAGCATCTCATGCTGACGGACGGTGTGGATTCAGAACACCAGTCGGGTCTTGCTCTTCTGTGGGACAACTCCAGGTGAGCCTGAAGTACAGAAACGAGGCCGGACATCTTCGATGATGTCGACACTTCCACCATCCCCATGCTTGAACGCGGTTCTCTAGCCTGCAGCCAGGGAGATATCCCGGAGGGGACTCCGGCAGAGGCCTCGAGAGACGAAGAAAGACAAGGAGAACATCTCCGAGCGTCAGCTTCCACAAAGCCCATAGATTCCATGCTCAGCTGATTTGTGGTGGACTTTCCTCACTGGCAGGCAGCTTTGCCAACAACTTCTGGGGTTGGCCACCCATCATCCCTCCATCACCTGATTTTAAGGTTTGGGGTTGGCCATCCAATATGTTCTACCGACCACGGCTCACTTGTCTAGAGGAACCAGCCATGTGTTGCAGGGTTCACCGCTCAGGAATTGAAACTCGTCATCTCCTCGTGAATTTTGAGGTTTGCCACGAATGATGTTCAGCGTGAGGATTACGATGTAAGGGCTCAACCCATTTGTTTGAAAGTTTGGGGCTGCGGGTCGATTATTTCCAAGATTGTTGGGTTTTGCAAGATCCACTCACACGATTAAGCCTTAGCGGTTTGCCACCCGTCCTCTTTTGCCAACATAGGTTCTAGAGGGGCCCTCCATTATCCGTTTCGGAGTTTTGGTTTGCGGGTTTCCGCAGCGGCTTCTGGTTTGGAGTTTGGCACGCTTCATGGTTTTAGGAGGCTTCGGGCTTGGCATCAATCGCCAGCTGCGCTTCCTCCAAGGGTTTGGATCCATCACTTTTGCATTGTGACGCCGTTCCTGGTAGCCCGCATCATGCACTTGAAGAGCTTCGGGTGTGAATTCGTTTCATACTGACCTTGGTATAACTGTCTGGAGCGGCTTGCACACATGGATTTCCTCCATGAGGTCATAGTCGGTGATCCTCGTTTGTCGCGCGCCAATCAGCATTTCTGCAGCGCCCACCGCAGCATCGAATCCGAAGCCAAGTTAGCTTTCAAGTCAGCCGGAAGTTTGCTGCTAAAATCTGATTTCCACACCGGGCCACTCTGTTTCCCATTTCAATTGATTGTCCTCCACTTGTTGGGTCAGCAAGTCGCTGCGGCCATTCGATGCTTCCAGTTCGCCGTTGACTGATAAGCCTTTGAAACGACCAACCCCGCAGGGCATTCGGATCGTCCTTTTTCCTTTCCGCGCTGGGCAGGAGGTCAGAAATTGCGATGGCGCAGGACTCGGACAGCAACCTAAAAGGAAGTCGTCCTTGAGGAGCTGGGGTGGTCCTGGCCGCAAGCTCGAACAGCGGCGTCTATTCCGCTGGAATTGCAGGCGAACGCAAATGTTCCGAATGTGTTGTGGGAGTCCGTGATCGAGACACTTTGCTCATCCTCGGCGAGGCCGATATCCTTTGCTCTTGCGAAATGCCGCCCTGGAGTCTAGCATGGTCAAGACACAGGCTCCTACACAGACACATTGGGAACACCCGTCCTACGGTCTACGATTTGTGCTCCGACTCACCTCGCTGTCTAAGCGTCCGGCCGAACAGTCAAGTTCCGCCCACATCACCAGCAACCTTTTGCGGCCTCACCGGGCACAAGCACTGCGACAACATAATGCATTTGCAGATCAGACATCGGGCCGACAGAAAGGAGCTCGACCGCCAGCGAACATGACGACTACCGAAGCACACTTTGCACCCTGGCATAGCACGTTCTAAGTCACCCGTGAACTGCTCGAAAAAAAGCATAGGGTTTCTCCCCGCCACAGGCCAATTTCGAGTCCTCCTCAGCATGACCATAATGAAACATGCGTCTTGTCTTGCGGCGGAACATCACCGCGAACGCGAAAGCCGAATGCTTCGCTGCATCTTTCCACCTGTCCCACTGGTGCGTTGATTGGATGGCAGAAAAGTACTGTCTCATCACATGAGTCATTCAAGCTTTCGCTGGAGCTGGACGTGGAATCTTCTTCGTCAACCGTCGAACACGAATTTGGAATTGAAAATGGCTGTAAAAGATTTTTGTTTTCGATCAAATTTGTCGAGCTCACATTTGCCTCAGAATCTGATTGGACGGAGCTTGGTGAGGAGATGCCGTTGGGCTTCGATTGGAGCACTGAATCCCGGAAGGCCGACTTCATGTCGGCGAAGCTCATGCCACAGTTCTCTTGCATGGATCATGTCCTTACCGCAGCGCCCACTCCGCAACTTGGCGAGGACACTACTAGCAGGAACAAACGAACCAACCCGAATTGTCATTGCACTGGGCCGCTTCATAAGCAAAGTGAGAGCCTGCGTGGAGTATGTTATTAAAGAAGACCTGCCCTTAACCACATGATACCCCAGCAGGCTCCGGGATGCCAATCATCCTCCCACTGATTGTATGCTTTGTTCATAACCATGTGGTTTTCATAGAGTGTGAGCTGAACAAACACGCGATGTTTGCATGAAGGACATGACCGAGAATACGGTGCATGATGGTGCATGAAAGCAGTAATTTCAGATGCCGAATCCAACTTTCTCAGCAGACATCAATACAATCTTTGATGCCCATTTCCGGGCATCACACTTAGACTGCGCGTCTTGCAGCACGAACCGAGGTCGAGCACTTACAAGACACCTTGCCCCACTAATCTATGGAACCATTCCGCCAGCCCGACAGCTCAAATATCAAGCCAAAAAATCCCGAAACCATATTCCCGAAATCCCAAGCCCAGAATCTCAGCCCAAAATCTCAAGCCCAAAATCCCCGTACAACCATATTCCCAAAATCCCAAGCCTAAACCCAGAAAAACACCTTCCCCCATAAATCCCCGTTATTCCTTAGC